ATTGGCCCCTGGTGAAACAATCTGACAGGCTGACAGTACGATAGTCAACTACTTTTGGAAAGGTTTGAATTTCAGGGACTTTCGTTGTGAGATTACGTGCACTGAACCGCACGACGGCAAGGGATCGCGGAGTATGCCCGCCCAAACTTTAGGACGCATTGCGGCTAACAGCGATAACATGGGGTTGAACTGAAGCTTGAGAATTACCAGTCCTGTGAGCGGTCTGCATCAACAATCGAAGACAACCAAGGTGGGAAAGAAACATCCCTGGCAGGCAAGACATTTCAGTGTGGGTATTCTTCCTGGACTATAAACCCGGCGGCTTCAGCCCCCCTGAATGTACTTTAGTTGAAAGATACTGAACACTCAAGTACGACTGCGGCTGGGGACGACCGTCTACCAAGGGGACACTATAAAGTAGGAAAAGTAAACAAAGCACCGGATGAGGACTGCCCTCCGGCAGAAACGCATAAGTGCTATGACAGTATTAGAAAACCCGGCACAGGGCGCTTAACAAACTCTGGAAACAGGGACCGTACCGACGGACCGCAGTGGTGGTCTTCAGTGGCAGAGCACAGCGTAAGAAGTACCGGAGCAGAACACCTTTGCAGTTCACTCTGCCACAGCACGCGAACTAGGGCTGATACTACCCCCGGTTGTGGCAGGTATGCTGGTGAGCATTTCTCGCCCCGCCGAACCATTGGACACCACAACTGTGGCCAACGCCCACGCTGTTGTGAGTTGCACTGGCCTTGCCTGTGCTGGATACCGTCCATGGGGACTTCACGGTTGGTCGCGCTGCTTGGTGGCACGCCACTAGACCCGCTATATTCGACTCAGGCTTATTACCACAGAATATGGACCAAAGTTAATGCAACTGGTGAGTTATAGATTTGATGTAATTTTCTAGTTCAACCTGAGCCTCGTTCTTCCTAAAATTGCCGCAAGTCACGGATCAAACGTTATAAATCTTTATTCCGCTAGTGGAGGCGATATAGCGAAGTCACCAATGGATGTGAATGTAATTAGGTCATTTAAATGAGTTCCTGGGATAAAGTGGATCACCGAGGGCTGTGTTACCGGAAATAACTGCCCGACCACAGTAGACAGGTAAATACCTAAGCTGTGAAACAGTGAAGTTGCAGTAAAGACTGGGAAACGTTGAAAGTCGACCTAGAGCGCATCTCTGGTTTTCGTATAAAATAGGCGACATACTCGAGAGTGTGGCGACAAATAATAGCTGATGATGGACTGTGGTGCTCCGAACTCGCAACGTGCAACTAGTTGCATCAGTAACGATAGGTGCTGTCGCCAGTACTAGGGAGTCACAGTCGGAATCTGCGCGTAGTCACAGGAGAAACTCGGTAAAATGAAATAGCATTACTTACTCGTGGGGCGCTTTTTCCAAATCCACATCAGAGCAAGAAAGTAGGCTCCGCAATACACTCAAATCTGCCTCGTGCGTGCTACCATCTATTCTATGAAAACCGAATATCCACAAAACAGGAAACCATGCATTTTAAAGGGCAAGAAGTACAGGCTGGGCCGTAAATCGTACCTCAAGAAGTCTGGTCTGTATCAAGGCAAAAGTGAGTGGCAAAAAAACCACCGACAGAAAGCCTGCAGCATTATTTCTCAATTCTAACATAAAAATGGAGATAAATGCAGATGCTTTATTGGATGGTTCCAAAAACAGACTTAATAAAAAGCCTAAGGGAGGTTGTCGCCCTGACCGGGTTTCTTCGAATCAGCGTCAGAAGCCTTTTTCGTTCCCGACACAATATCGTCGATCCTTAGAAGCAAGATGGCGGTCTAGAAGTAGGCTATTAAGTACTAGACTGAAGACTTACTTCAATGGCTGTTTTGAAAGTTTGTGACTTGACAGCAACTGGATCCCAGATACCAAGCGTCTTCATATCGACCAGCTGACCAGTCTCACCATCGACACCCATTGTCCAATTCTTGGCCGGGTCGATAGCGTGATACGCCCGCAGTTCAGTTATTTGTCTGAGAACATTGGCCCCGCAGTTCTGAGCAAGTGTTCGGGGAATAACCTCCAGGGCCTGAGCGACAGCCAGGTAGGCAACTTGCTGAATTCCCGACACCGAGGTTTTTGCTTTCTGACTAAGTTCCTGCGCAAGGGCCATTTCCAAGGCTCCGCCGCCAGGCACAAGGCGCTGCTCCATGCCAACACTTCGAACGACCGACATGGCGTCATTCAGATTTCTTTCGATTTCGTTGAGGACATCCTTGCTTGCACCCCTAAGGACTATACTACAGGCTTTTGGATTCTAAAAAAGCAGGTATGTGACTGAAAGTTCAATACCTTGCAGCCAGTGATGAAGGTAAAGTACTCGTCGCCGATTAATTTCACCTCGAAAAGACCCGCTTCCGTGCCAATGTCTTCCTCCTTTATCTCCTCGGTCCTGCTGACAATCGTGGCCCCACAACAACGACCGATCCGAAGGCAGTCCGTTTTTCGAAGGCGACGAATGACTGAGATACCCGCCTTGACCAAGAAGTGTTGAGCTAGATCGCTAACACCTTTTTCTGTTATGACGACGGTAGGCTTGTGCCTAATTATATCCTCGCATATCTTGTTAATGTATTCTTCTTCAATTTCAAGAGCACGTCTAAATGTTACTAGTGCATTAGAAAGTCGACATACGTGAAGTCTTTCTCTCCGGATATTTCCATTGCGGTTTGACTCTCACCCTTCTTGTACTCCAGACTGCAATCCAGAAGCAGAATGCGAGGGTTTTCAATGCGCCTCCTCATTTTCGGATGCAGAATGTCTTTGTTAAACATCACTCCATCCAGAACAGTCGAGTCTTCAATAGAACCTCCCGGAATCTAAGTAGAAAATAGAACAATAAACAAACTACCTTCTCGATTTTTGCGTAACGTTTAATGTCGATCTCCTTCCTTCCATTTTCTACTATGGTCACCCGTTTGACAGACTCGATCGCTAGTTTGCAGGCGAGATCAATCCTGAAGATAGCGTAGGGCGTTTTATCGACTCACCATTTGCTAATTATTTTGGTTCCTATGCAGCTTTTGACCAAGTTAACCATCGAACCATGATCATTTACATCAATGGGGATACTAAATAAGGGATAACAGAGCGGGTATAGCAGCTACCTGAATTTCGTATCTATCGCTGTAAGTATATCCTCAAGCGCCTGGCGAAATGCAGAAATCACCCTCGTCGGATGGATCTGTTTCTCCAAACAAGGTCCGGCAACAGAAAGCATTTCACCGGCTACTATATGCGTTTATTTCGTACCGCTTACCAAGGATTATGACGGATGTGGTGCCGTCTCCAACTTCTTCGTCTTGAGTTCGGGCTATCTCAATCATCGACTTGGCGGCAGGATGTTCAACAGTAATCTAATAATTGAACCTAATCAAATGAAGAAACACTTCTCGTAGAATTGCATTCCCATCGTTAGTCATTACTATCCCGCCCATAGGATCCATTAGCATCTTTAACATGGCTCGTGGACCAAGACAAGTGCGGATGACATCTGCAACAGTTTTGCCAGCCTGAATATTGCCCATCTGGACATTTCGGCCATGTTCGCGTTTGGTGTTTGGATCTAAGGGAGACGATCAGACGAAAACAACGTTAAAGTACTTAGAACTACAACCGGGACACCACGCATGCTTCGTCAGTAAACCGTTCGACTTGACCGCACTTCCAGCAACTGTGTTGATTGGTTTATTCTGTCACGATGGTAGCAGGGTTCGAGTCTCACAGAGATCAGAACCGATGAGAAAATTCAGGCTATATATTCCAGACCCTTAAGCAATGTGGCATAGAGGTATAAGGAATATCGTGTTTTTTCGTTCTTTATTTGGGAAGCCTTGGCTGGATATCTTATGTTTTTACTCCACTTTCATAGGAAAAATATCCGCCGTTGGCTAAAATCCCCTTCCAAGCAAATGATCATGCAATTTAGGCAGGTCAGGGTTAAGCAAGGTAATTTTGACATCACTTTTTTGCATATTCGCCCCTAATTTAGGCCCCCTGTAGAAAACCCCTTATCTGTCGACCGCGCGATGTTCCAACTCTGTCGAAAATGGTGTGGTCGACAAGATAAAGATTCCCAATCAAAAGTCAGGGAAGACGGAGTGAGTTGGACAACCTTTACTGCCGGAGGAAGTGCGTACACAAGGTCTCTGCAGGCAGTCGCCGCGAGCGCTCTCCAAGCAAGCTGTTGTTGGTGTCCGCCTTCGAGGTGTTGTGTCTCAGCGTGTGTGCGCCTTCCGTTGTCTCCGCGTCCGCCAGCCAATCAGAGTGGGGACAGCATTGGTTGACTTCGAGCACTCTCGAGGCTAGTGACAAGCCTCGCGCGTCCCAGCAGCGTATCGACAAGAAGTGTGAGGCGGACAGGAAAGCAGCGTGGCAAAGGCGGAGGGCAAGGAGATGCGAATTGTCACAGTAACCCCCGGCTAGACCGAAGGCGACGCG